GTCGTCCGGTCCCGCTCGGAGCTCCCTATGGTGAACTCGTTCGAGCTGACTGGTGATAAAATAGGCCGCTACCTCACACCGTTCGCTGTTGGATTTTTCATGATGTAAAATTTCCCGAGAGGGTCATCTTTTATATCAACATTAGGTACTTTGGTTTTTCGGCATCAGTCTATGTCAGTATTGCTTTCTACCTTCTCGTAGTGACGGTGAAATCGTCAGTGCAAGTGGACGGTAAGTCGGCACTATCACCCTTGCATCACCTTACGCGTATTAGAATCTTCCAGTGGAAGCAGCAAAGAGATGGGAGGCCAAAGACCAGGCCTTCTGAGGCAGTTGTTTGAGGGAGTGAAGTCCTTGGGAGATCCCAGGCTCGGAGTGAGTTTAACTCTCGAGCATTTTACCATATCGATCACTAGGGCGCGCGCGCTGTGCTGACGCATTGTGGAAGGCTACTCTTAGGTACTTGTTCTCAATACGCTCCTCACCAACGTGTTCGTGTATCCGTTCCAAACAGCAGCTATACCGGTGATGTTGAGGCAGATGGATCCTGTGAACTGGAGGAGTTTAGCAAGCCTGGTGGGTCGGCGGGTCTACCTATAATGCTTAGAGTATCCATTGTAAACGGTAATTGATTAGAAATGGCAGGCTGGTAAATAGTGTGCTAGATCACGCGACGTGGCCTGGCATCCTATTTACCAGCGTGGCGTGATGCACGCCTTCGGAATTTTCGAGAGAACGGTATTGGCCCGCATCATCCACTCCAAAAAATCAAACACAGTTTGCGTAGTAGGTGCACTGTAGTCGTCTGTTAAGGCTCAAGGCCCCTCTCAATTGAGTGTAATATTTTAGGTGTCGTTGGGCGGCGTGATCGGTCCAATTCTGTCCAACGCCAGCGCCTTCCTCTTCAGTAGCGATCCTTATGCTGGTAGTATGGCCGCTTAATAGTGTCACCATCGATTTGCTGCCCTCACAGGTCTGGTATCGGGCATCACTGCACAGATCACCACGGGGATGCTCTCAATCTTCTGCGTCATGGTCAGCTCTTCTCGTTATTGTTGTCCGCACCTATTGGGAACCGTGGAATGTCGCCGCCTTTTATCGATCTCCTCGGTGACTCCGTGAATCCACCTCCTTCCCCTCAGGTCTATCCACTCTTCCCCACTGGCACCGCCTACGCTGTACTGTTGTCGACCCTCTGGGTGTTGGTCATTGCAGCCAACAATCAGTTTACGATATTCTTCAACTCCCTCCAGCAAATGGTAGGAAAAGTTGGAGTTGTGTCTGCCCTCATCCTTGACAGGTCCTCCCAGCAAATCAACGAGGAAAGTTTATAGCCAATCTCTTGGCTGTGTTCACGGTAAGTCATTGGTCGACTCGCGCTGCCCACCGATGAGTTCCCTCTCAGATGGGCAACGCTGCAGGTCTGTGGGTATTCGGCCAGGCAATAGCATCTCCTGAGCATCTCCAGTCTAACGTATGCTGGGTACTGGTCCTGTCAGTCCTCCTCAGAATGATCATCGGTACAGCCATCGTGAGCCTTCCAATTGGTCTTCATTTCCACAACTTTAGGTGGGGTTGTACTCTACCGAAGGTCAGCACTGCGTCGCGCAGCCTCTACGACTGACGGGACGACTGCTTCTACTGGTGGGAACCAAATCAATGACCGCAACCTTTCTGAGTGACCCGTAGTTTAGTTCGATCCTCGACAGATTGTCGGTATCAGGTAGTAAGCCAGGCATCGACAGCGGAGATTTCACAGAGTCACCGTTGGTGTCACCAAGTGAGAGCGAGAAGAGTTCCTGATGATTCGGTTGTTCTACCCAACCCCTGTGTCTCCCGATTTGTGGATGTTGTGTTATTCGAGTTGAGATCGGCGTC